CTCTTCCTCAAAAACGTGAGATATAAAATCCACCTCTGGTTGGGCACAGTGGCTCACGCCTGTAATTCCAACACTTTGGAAGGCTAAGGCGGGTGGATCATCTGAGGTCAGGAGTTCGAGACCATCCTGGCCAACATGGTGAAACCCTGCCTCTATTAAAAATACCAAAAAAAAAAAAAAAATAGCCAAGTGTGGTGGCGGGCACCTGTAATCCTGGCTACTCGGGAGGCTGAAAAAGGAGAATCGCTTGAACCCGGCAGGCAGAGGTTGCAGTGAGCTGAGATGGTGCCACTGCACTCCAGCCTGGGTGACAGAGTGAGACTCTATCTCAAAATAAATAAATAAATAAATTTAATTTAATTCAATTTAATCCATCTCTAAATTTGTCTCTGGGTGATGCTAAATCATCTTTTAGCCCAATCACAATCCCATCTGGATATTCAAAAACTCAAAGACTAAGTTGAAGTTAGTCACCAACACTTCCTCGTCCTATAGTGTTGTTGTCCATAAACCTTTTGGAGCTCCCTATTTATCTTCAGATTATATACAGTCAAAATCCATCTGGGTGCAGTGGCTCATGCCTGTAATCCCAGCATTTTGGGAGACCACGGTGAAAGGACTGCTTGAGCCCAGGAATTCAAGAGCAGCCTGGGCAACATAGTGAATTCTTTTAAAATTAGCTGGGCATAGTGGCGCATACCTGTAGTTCCAGCTTCTCAGGAGGCTGAAGCAGAAGGATCACTTGAACCCAGAACTTCAAGGCTACAGCGAACTATGACTGCACCACTGCACTCCAGTCTCAGCGACAGAGTGAGATCCCATCTTAAATAAATCAAGTCTCCCACATTTGGGGTTTAAGGACCTATCAGGCTAGACCAAAGTCTTTTTTTTTTCTTCCCCAATTAGCAACAATCGCACCTCAGATAAACCTCATTGGCTACGATATTGCCACCGCACAAAGCTCAATCTTCCTTTCATAACTTCTCACTACTGATTAGATTGATCTGTATTTCATTTCCCAAACACACCTTGTATAGTTCTCCCTATAAGCTTTCAAGCTTGTCATTACTCCCACCCAAAATTCTTTCCCCATTCTCCTTTTCTTTTCTACCTCTTCTGCTCCAAATGTACCAATTTTTCAAGGTATGACTCAAGTTCAAAATCTGCACACAGCTCTCTTCCAAAGGCACCCCCTAGGGTTTGATTCTTCCTGGCTTTCCCACAGCACCTAGTGGCACAATGCCTCCCACATATCCACTTACTGACAAATACCTGACTGTGGAGGATAGGGAAAAGGCAATGCATAGCTGGCTATTAATTTAAAACCCAAGGTACTTAATGCCCAACATCAGCTTCCCATAGCGTAGCCTCCCATCGTCCCTACTCAGGCTCTGTTTGATTCTGAATTAAAATCTGAAGCAGTACATCAATTCACCACAGCAAACTTCAAAAGAGTTCAGCTGGTCTCCAGAGACACTGTTCTCAGATTACTACCAAGCTAGCAACCTGGTTGAGGTTATTAGCAAACCACATCGCTTGCCAGCTAACATCAAGTCGAAGACAGAGGCAAACAAAAAGCTTTCAAAGGGGCAATGCTCAACAGGAATTGTTCACGCTGAGAAGACGTGCAGGACACTGAAGAGCAAAGACCCAGAACTCATCACATTCCTGCTTAGCCATCCTGGGTTTGTTCCTGACAAAGGCTAGAAGATGCAAAGCCGTTGCAAGTCTTCCTTCTCTCTAGGGGTTTTAAGATGTGATTTGGAATGCTAATTCCTACCAACAATGAAATTATGCATAAACACAAAGGACAATTAGCAAAGAGCCTAGAGACATAGTTCTTGTCCCAGTTCTGCCCTGGATGAACCTTGTATTTTTCCCTCCCCCGGTCTTACTTTTGTTATCTGAAATATGAGGAGGGGATTGAACTAGATCATCTCCCAGGACGCTTCCAATCACGAAATCCAAAAACATCTTTAATTGCTTTCTGCTTTCCTTATTAAAAGACATCCAATTATTCATTGAAGACCATTATTATCTAATATCTTGGAGGCTACTATGTATAACTGTTAAGAGTTGTGCACTGAACAAATCCAGAGAGCATCATTCATATTACAGTCTATGTAAACTACATTCCTGTGTTGGGCAGTGTACAACCCGAATATCCATATATAACAGCCCTGATTATGCTCTTCAATTTTGCAAATAGTTAAGGTTTTACTTTTTAATTATCCTTTTTTTTTTTTTTTTTTTTTTGAGACAGGGTCTCACTCTATCACCCAGGCTGGAGTGCAGTGGTGTGAGCCATGGCTCACTACAGCCTCAACCATCCAGGCTCAAGAGATCTTCCCACCTCAGTCCCCTAAGTACATGGGACTACAGGCATGTGCCACCATGTCCAACTAATTTAAATTTTTTGTATTTTTTGTAGAGATGAGGTTTCACCAAGTTGCTCAGGCTGGTCTTGAACTCCTTGCCTCAAGCGATCTGCCCACCTCCACCTCCCAAAGTGCTGGGATTACAGGCATGAGCTACCACACCCAGCCTCTTTTATCTTCTTAATATTCATTATTTCCTGACCTTGGTTCCTGCTGGCAGAGCTGAAATATATTAATATGTAGTACTGACTGACCAAAGTATTCTCTTATTAACTTGTAGCAGGATGAGCCGCACACAAAACTCCTCAGACACTGAGTTAAAGAAGGAAGGGATTTATTTGGGGTTTATTCGGCCGGGGGCATTGGCAAGACTCCTGTCTCAAGAGCTGAGTTCTTCCAGTGAGCAATCCCTGTCCTTTTTAAGGGCTCACAACTCTAAGCGGGTATGCGTGAGAGGGTCATGAGCAAGCAGGGGGTACGTGACTGGGGGCTGCATGCACTGGTAATTAGATCAAAACAAAACAGGATAGGGATTTTCACAGTGCTTTTCTATACAATGTCTATAATCTATAGATAACATAACCAATTAGGTCAGGGGTCAATCTTTAACTGCCAGGCCCAGGGTGTGGTGCCGGGCTGTCTGCTTGTGGATTTCATTCCTGCCTTTTAGTTTTTACTTTTTCTTTCTTTGGAGGCAGAAATTGGGCATAAGACAATATGAGGGGTGGTCTTTTCCCTTAAACTAACTCCTAATCATGTACATTGAATGAGAATAATAATAATGTTAATATTTATTGACATTTGTAAATACGTATTGATCACTTACCATGTGCAAGATGCTTAACACGTATTACTACATTTGTTCCTTATGAAATCCTATTAGGCATAAATTACTATCCTTATCTTTGGATGATGATGTAGTTTGGACGTGTGTCTCCTCCAAATCTCATGTTGAAATGTGGCCTCCAATGTTGGAGGTGGGCCTGGTGGGAGGTGTTTGGGTCTTAGGGGCAGATCCCTTATGAATGGCATGGTGCCATCCCCATGGTAGAGTGAGTTCTTGCTCTGGTAGTTCACACAAGGTCTGGCTTTTGAAAAAAGCCTGGCATCTCTCTTGCTCTCTTTCACCATGTGAGAGAGGGTGATATGTTTGTAAGGAGTACGAGTGAAGATGATAATATTTTGATCCTCAAGGCAAGGACCTAAGCTGAAATGCCCATTCGAAGTGATTAATAAAGAAGCCATTTCTTCTCAATAGTTATCACTGAGCAAAGAGGAAGAAAGAGTCAGACTTAAATAAAGAAAAAAGACAGAAAAAGATGCTCTAAAGTGAAACACTGTGTACAGAATCCAGAGAGGGAGGAAAGTCAAAACCTAGAACAGTCCTGGCACGGGGCAGTGGCTCACGCCTGTTAGTAATCCCAGTACTTTGGGAGGCTGAGGTGGGTGAATCACCTGAGGTCAGGATTTCGAGACCAGCCTGGCCAGCATGGTGAAACCCTGTCTCTACTAAAAATACAAAAATTAGTCAGGTGTGGTGGTACATGCCTGTAATCCCAGCTACTTGGGAGGCTGAAGCAGGATAAAAACACGGGAGGCAGAGGTTGCAGTGAGCCGAGATTGCGCCACTGCACTTAAGCCTGGATGACAGAGTGAGACTCTGACCCAGAAGAAGAAAAAAAAATACCTAAGACAGTCCTAAAACAGAGATCACCTTGCCCTAAATCAGGATTGGGTAACAACTTCACCTTCTCACCCAGGGCTCCCAGTCACCTGATTCTCCTGCCTGCAGGCTGTGTATTAAGCAAGTCACCGGATTACAAGAACAGCAGTGAAATTAAACAGTTAAATCTCTGCCTCTTTGCTTTCCATGCCTGAAGTCTCTCCACGTGAAAAAAAAAAAAAAAAAAGCGTCATTTTTTTTCCCCCCATAACTGTATGGCTCCTTGCACTGTTCCAGATTTGAAAATAAATAATGATTGATATAGAACATGGTTCTAAACATAATGTTAATAAATTTGTTTACTGATGTGTTTAATCTCTAAACTACTTTGAATTTAAAAAGAAATAAAAATTAACTATGACTATATACAATGAAAGATATATATTTTTAAAATACCCTGCACAATTCTACAACTTTATTACATATTTATATGACTTGGATATGTCTATCTATACAAACTCTATATGTTTTACTAAAAATCATTGAATTGTACACTTACAATGGGTGTATATATGTGTGTGTGTGCGTGTGTGTGTATATACATATATATAATATATACTTTTTTTTGGGGGGGACAAAGTGTCACTCTTGTTGCCCAGGCTGGAGTGCAATGGCACAATCTCGGCTCATTGTAACCTCCGCCTTGTAGAGGACTACATGCTCGCAAACGAGATGTTTCCGATAAGTCCTGCTCTTGCAAACAAAGCAGGACGTTCCTTCCCTGCAAACAGGAAGGACAAAGGAGCCAGCTGCAAACAGCAGACCCTGGGGATTGGTTAATGTGTAAACATCTTGAAAAACCAGAAAGTCAGGGAAAGGTCAGAACAACATGTGTCTTGTGACTTGGCAACATTCCACAAACGACTGTATAAAATAAATCAGACCCTGCCATTCGGCGCGGCCGCCATGTTTGTCTTGTCTTGTGTTGTCTTGTGTGTTCATTCCTTTGTCTAGGAAACACGCAGACCCCAACATCTGGCGCAGCGAGCAGGGTCTGTGGCTTCACGAAAGCAAGGAACTGGAGGGGAAACAACCCCGGTAAGTAAATAAAGAAGGGTGACCCATGGGAAAATTATGGGGAATTCCACCTCTTTGGCCTCTGAGTATTTGCGGTTGCTCCAAGGATTGTTATTGTCTATAGGAGTGGAAGTAAAAGAAAAAACTTTGAAACGATTGTCTGCCCATGTTGAGCAGCATTGTTACTGGTTTCAATATCAGACTAAAATACAGCTAAATCGAAAAGAATGGTTACAAGTGGTTAAGGTCCTGCGACAGGCACATCAGCACGGGCAAACTATGCCTTTAACTTTGTGGACTTTATGCAGCTCAATTACACAAGCTTTAGAGTTACTCAAAACTGACTCTGAATGCGGCGATATTGCCGCGGAGGGTGCAGCAAATAAAAAAACAGAAGGCGCTGCCCTTGGAGAGGAGCCTATTTATGCTCCAGTTGCTGAAGATAGGGAGTTAGAGGAAGAGCCAGTGCTTCTCTCACGGTCTCCTTCCGAAGGAAATTCTGACATGCAGAGTATTCTGGATATGTTACAACAATTGCTAAAATTGCAAGGTGTCACTGCTCCTGTTTCTCCTAAATTGCCACTACAGGCTTTCCCTGCCACCCTTCCATCTGCTCCACTGGAGGAGGATTTTCCTTTACCACCACCCCCGGCTCCTTTGCCTTTATTTGGAAGGGTTTTTTCTATACCCTTCCCTCCCATAGGGGAAGAAGAGGGTGATAAAGTTAAAGGAGATTTTGAAGAGTTAGATTTGTTTCCAATTACACGAGTCCCTTTTGCCCCTAACGCTCAATTTCCAAATGGTAGTAATAACGTTCATTTTGCAGCATTACAATTTAAGTTTTTAAAAGAAATGAAAACTGCCATTTCTAATCATGGGCCCCAGTCCCCATTTGTTCTTAGTCTTCTCGATTCCTTCTCATCAGAAAACTTAATGATTCCTATTGATTGGGAAACTTTGGGAAAGGCTGTTCTTGATCGTTCTCAATGGTTACAGCTGCGAAGCTGGTGGATGGAAGAGGCACATGTGCAGGCTAGAAAAAATGCTACACGTAACCCCCCGGGACCCACTGAAGAACAACTCACTGGAATGGGGCAATATGCCACGCTTGATGCTCAAGCTGGCTTAGATGATACAGCCCTTACACAAATTAAGACTTTATTTTTAAGAGCTTGGAACAAGGTAGAAATAGTGGGTAAAATTTCTTTATCCTTTGTAAAGATCTTACATGGGGCAAATGAACCATACCCCAACTTTGTGGCACATCTTCAAGATGCTGTATTAAAAACTGTAGGCATTGGCCCTGCCTCTAAAATCTTGTTGCAGACGTTGTCCTTTGAAAATGCTAACCCTGAATGTCAAAAATTACTGAGACCTTTAAAAGCCAGTGGAGCTAATTTAGATGAATACATTAGAGCTTGTGCTGGTGTTGGAGGGGCTATTTATAATGCTCAACTGTTTGCTGGTGCAATTTCCAAAGCCTTACAGAGTAATTCTAAACAAGGTATATGTTTTCAATGTGGGAAACCCGGCCATTTTAAAAAAGAGTGTTGGAAAAAATTGGGCGTTTCTGCTTCAAAAGACAAAAGGCTACCTTCTGGGGACTGTAAATGGTGCGGTAAAGGTCGCCATTGGACAAACGAATGCCGTTCAAAAACTGATAAACATGGCAATTCATTATTACCTCTCCCGGGAAACGGAAATCGGGGCCCACAGGCTTGGGGCCCCAACAATTACAATACAAGTCTGTAACAATATCCAGTAAGCCATGGTCTACAGCATCAGAGAACACCCTCGAGCCATCCTTAAAGGTTTCGCATCTTATACCTGTTTCTCAGCTCTATGCTGCTACTAGGCAAAGCGCTGCTGCTGATTTGGCCATTACCCAACCTTATACTTTGTCTCCCGATGGAGGTATATATAAATTAGCTACTGGAGTATGTGGCCCTTTGCCTGATGGGCATGTAGGACTACTATTAGGTCGAAGTAGCAGTGTTCTGAGAGGGCTAATAGTGATCCCAGGAATTATTGACCCTGACTTTACTGATGAAATCCATATTATGGTACAAGCCTCACAATTTATGCACCTAGAGGCAGGGGAACGTATTGCACAATTGCTTTTATTGTCTTTTTTTCCCTTTCTGTCTAGACACGTGTCTCATCAAGGAGGTTTCAGTAGTACTGGGAAAACTGTTTTCTGGGAAACTTTAGTTTTTGATCAAAAACCTTTATGTTCATTGCAAATTAATGGGATACTTTTTGAGGGATTAGTTGATACAGGGGCAGATGTATCAATTATTTGCTTGGCTCAATGGCCTGCTCATTGGAGAAAGAAACAAGAATCGGTCAATTTATCTGGCCTAGGTACTGCTTCTGTAGTCTACCAAAGTGCTGAGCCCCTGAGCTGCATAGGACCTGAAGGACAACAGGGAAAAGTATTATTTTATATAGTTCCCATTAACATTAACCTTTGGGGCCATGATCTTTTACAACAATTTGGTGCCTTTCTAAGCATTCCTCATATTTCTTCAGCTGCGAAAAATATGATGTTCAAGATGGGCTACAATCCTTTAAACTCATAGCCACTGTCCACAAGCCTCAAGCTTTACAATTGAAGTGGAAAACTGAAACTCCTGTATGAGTGGAACAGTGGCAGTTGTCTAAAGAAAAACTTGAGGCTTTAAAAGATTTAGTTAAGGAGCAATTGGCCGAGGGGCATATTGAACCAAGTACTTCTGCATGGAATTCCCCTGTGTTTGTCATTAAAAAGAAAAGTGGAAAATGGCGCTTATTAACTGATCTTAGAGCTATTAATGCTTGTATTCAACCTATGGGGACTTTACAACCTGGTTTTCCTAATCCAGCCCTTATCCCACAAAATTGGAAATTAATGGTCATAGATCTTAAAGATTTTTTTTTTTACTATTCCATTAAAACCCCAAGATTGTGAAAAATTTGCCTTTACTGTTCCCGAATATAATAATAGACAGCCTACTCAAAGATACCAATGGAAAGTTCTCCCTCAAGGTATGCTTAATAGTCCTACTCTTTGTCAAGAATTTGTTCATAGGGCCTTAAATCCTGTTAGATGTCAATTCCCTACTGTATTGATATACCATTATATGGATGATATTCTATTAGCAACTCCTGATGAAGTCCTGCAAAGTCAAGTTTTTCAAGCTTTGCAACAGCAATTAACTCAATATAATTTACAAATTTCTCCGGAGAAAATACAAACTCAATTTCCTATTCAATATTTGGGATACCTTCCAGCAGAAAAGCAGATTCGGCCTCAGAAGGTTCAAATTTGAAGAGATCAACTTTTAACTATCAATGATTTTCAAAAATTGCTAGGAGACATGAATTGGCTTCGCCCCATCTTAGGCATACCTACTTACAAATTGCAACATTTATTTGCTACTTTAGAAGGGGATTCAGATTTAAATAGTTCCCGTCAACTATCCCTGCAGCAGAAGAAGAGTTGTCATTTGTAGAAAATAGAATCAGTGAAGCTCAGCTTAATTATATTGCACCCAATCTTCCACCCTCTTTATGTCTTTTTCATACTCCTCACTCACCAACGGCCATTTTACATCAAGATAATAACATTCTGGAGTGGCTATTTTTGGCTTATAAAGCCATTAAAAAAATTCACCCATACATTGATAAATTAGCTGAATTGATTATTAAAGGATGACATCGAGCTCGTCAGTTGCTTGGTGTTGACCCTATAAAAATTATTACCCGATTGTCTAAACAACAAATTGAATCTCTACTAGAGACTCATGAAGGTTGGCAAGTCCTGCGCTGAGTACACTGGTTCTTTTTCTCAGCACTATCCTAGTAATAAATTATTTGCTTTTCTACAACAATATCCTTTACTGCCATATAATCCCATCTCTTACACCCCAGTTAAGGGTCCCACCTTTTTCACTGACGCATCTAGTAACAGAAAAGCTGGATATTGGACACAGGATAACTCTAAAATTTCTCACTATCCATTTGAATCAGTACAACAGGGAGAACTTTTTGCCATTCTTACGGTACTTCAAGACTGGCCTCAAACCCCTTATAACATTGTTAGTGATTCCCAATATGCTGTTTATGTGACTCAATATATTTCACAAACTTCATTGCCATTATTCCCTCAAACTCCTTTACAAAAATTATTTTCTTTATTATTTATAGCTCTTACTTCTTGCACTGCCCCCCTTTTTGTCACTCATATTCATTCTCACTCTACTTTGCCAGGACCTTTGACTTTTGGCAATAGTCAAATTGATTCCTTACTTATCGGCAGTGTCCAACGTGCTCAGGATGAGCACCAATTGCATCATACTAATAGTTTAGGATTACGGCCGGGCGCGGTGGCTCAAGCCTGTAATCCCAGCACTTTGGGAGGCCGAGACGGGCGGATCACGAGGTCAGGAGTTCGAGACCATCCTGGCTAACACGGTGAAACCCCGTCTCTACTAAAAAATACAAAAAACTAGCTGGGCGAGGTGGCGGGCACCTGTAGTCCCGGCTACTCGGGAGGCTGAGGCAGGAGAATGGCGTAAAAACCCGGGAGGCGGAGCTTGCAGTGAGCTGAGATCCGGCCACTGCACTCCAGCCTGGGCGATACAGCAAGACTCCGTCTCAAAAAAAAAAAAAAAAAAAAAAAAAAAATAGTTTAGGATTACAACGGCAATTTTCTATAACACGCCGACAAGCCCGAGCTATTGTCAGGGCCTGTCCATCTTGTGCTCCTATTATTGCACCTTTTCTAAGTCCAGGTACTAATCCTCGAGGCACTCAACAAAATCACATTTAGCAAATGGATGTCACTTATGTCTCTTCTTTTGGTTGTCTAAAATATGTTCATCATACAATTGATACCTGGTCACATTTCCAATGGGCTACACCATTACCCTCTGAAAAGGCTGACTCTGTTATCACTCATTTACTTACTTGCTTTGTGGTTATGGGAGTTCCTGCTGAATTAAAAACTGATAATGCCCCTGCTTATCGCTCTCGTAAATTGGCTGCCTTCCTTTCTTTATATCATACTCACCATTCCACCCGTATTCCATTTAACAGTCAAGGCCAAGCAATTATTGAAAGAGCCAATGCTACTTTAAAATTACAACTTTCAAAACAAACAGGGGGAAACGGGCGAGATTCCCCAAAACATCAAATTCTGAAAGCCCTTTTTACTTTAAATTTTCTCAACCATTGGCGCCAATTACAGCAGTCGGCAGCAGTGAAACATTTTCAACAGCCTTCAGAAAAGCTGCAAAACAGTAATCTGTGGGTGTATTATCCTTCATTACAAGGGAAATATTTAAAAGGAAAAGTTTTACAATGGGGCCGAGGCTATGCTCTTGTCCGTACAGGTGCTGGAGACGAGTGGTTCCCGTCTAGAAGACTAAAGCGGTGCCATGGCAAAGAGGAGCTGATCAGGGGACTTTCTAGCAGCATTTCAGGAGCTGAATCTGAGTGCTCAGAGAACATTCACCTTCAGAACTTGATGTGTGGAGCCCCCAACATGGGGTCAGCTGAAAAAGCTCACTCAGAAAGCTGAAGGGGTTGTTCAGCAAGCTGGGCAGCCCAAAACCCCAATGACTTTATTTCTGGCTATGCTGGCTATAGTGAATTGCCAGGTAATGGCTGGAGAATTTACCTACTGGGCTTATATTCCTTTTCCACCCTTATATCAAGGTGTCGCATGGGGAGACAAAGAGGTCCCAGTATTTACTAATGATACTGCTTGGATGCCATCACCTTTTTTGAACCAAGTTCCTGAATTAGGCACTGGCATAGTAAATAGTTCATATCAATTTGGGGTTGAAGGGTTACCTATATGTCTTGGGAGTAGTCCACATTGTCTGCATCCTTCTTATGAGGCTTGGGCTGTTCGCTATAACCATAGTCACATTGCTGCCTTTACTATGATTATTGTTGCTCAAAGTTTTAAGTATAATCATACTGCATTACTTAATGAAACTTTGCCAACTACATTATCTTTATGCCCTATCCCTAATGTGTCCGGAGGTGTTTCCCAACTAGAGTGGACTAGATGTAGAGGTAGTGGGCCGTGATTGTTGTTAGAAGTAAAAGGGAAAAGTCGTAAATACCTTGTTACAGATTGGAGTGCGCATGGAGATTTTCAAACTAAATTCAGCCATGTCAACCTGCGCTGGCATAAGGGTAATTACAGCATTGCTGCGGATGGCAATGAAACTATTATTTGGCATGATGGTGGCTTGTCACCCCCTATGCTGCATTTGGCCAACACCTCACAAATACAAAGTCATATTTGGAAGTTGCTAGCTGCTGGTAAACCAATGTTCACTTTCACGGGAAACAAGTCCTTGAATCTTACTACTAACATTTCTAATCATTTTCATATATCTTTACATTGAAATAGCTCTAGATATGTTGTTGCATGTGTAAAGAAACCTTATTTGTTGTTAACAGAAATCTTTAAATGGGATAATAATACAGGGGTAGTTAACTGTACGGGCAATTGTACATTCTTAAGTTGTATAAATAATACTTGGTGGAATAATAATTGGAATGAGTCTCATTCGGATTTATATATTTTGAAAGCCAGGAAAGAAACCTGGCTACCTGTGAACTTAACACACTCCTGGAGTGAATCTGCTGGGGTCACTCAAATTTATAAAGTAATACAAGATCTTGTCCACCGCAGCCGGAGAGTAGTTGAGATCGTCGTAACAGCAGTGGTGGGACTTGTAGCAGTTGCTTCCACTGCCGCTGTTGCTGGATTAGCTCTACACCAGAGTATACAAAATGCAGAATTTGTACAACAATGGCATGAACAATCACATTTGTTATGGCAGCAGCAACGAGACATAGATGCTCATCTGACTGAATGAGTGGATAATCTGGAGCAAGTGGTTTCTTGGTTAGGAGATCAGCTAACAGTGTTGAATACTCAAGCTTTGTTAAAATGTGATTGGAATACTACCCAATTTTGTATTACTCCTGTTCCTTTTAACAGCCCTGTACATAATTGGACTGAGACAAAGAGACTTTTAATTGGCCATAATAATCTTTCCTTAGAAATACAAGAATTGGCCGGGCGCGGTGGCTCAAGCCTGTAATCCCAGCACTTTGGGAGGCCGAGACGGGCGAATCACTAGGTCAGGAGATTGAGACCATCCTGGCTAACATGGTGAAACCCCGTCTCTACTGAAAAATACAAAAAACTAGCCAGGTGAGGTGGCGGGTGCCTGTAGTCCCAGCTACTCGGGAGGCTGAGGCAGAAGAATGGCGTAAACCCGGGAGGCGGAGCTTGCAGTGAGCTGAGATCTGGCCACTGCACTCCAGCCTGGACGACAGAGCCAGACTCCGTCTCAAAAAAAAAAAAAAAAAAAAAAAGAAATACAAGAATTAACACAAAACATTTCTGAAACATTTCACAATCAGTTACCATTGCTGACCGGAGCAGATTTGATGACTGGTATTGCACAAAGCTTGACATCTTTAAACGCTATGAGTCCTGTAAACACTTTACTGACTTCTGTTTCTAGTAATGTATTGATTGTTGTTCTTGCCTTTGTCATTTTCACAGTCTGTTGGAGACAGTGCCAAAGGGCAAACACCGAATCCGAGCAAGCTCAACATGTGATGATGGTTTTGAAAGAAATTCAAACTTGTAAATAAAGAAAGGGGAAATGTAGAGGACTAGGTGCTCGCAAACGAGATGTTCCCAATAAGTCCTGCTCTTGCAAACAAAGCAGGACGTTCCTTCCCTGCAAACAGGAAGGACAAAGGAGCCAGCTGCAAACAGCAGACCCTGGGGACTGATTAATGTGTAAACATCTTGAAAAACCAGAAAGTCAGGGAAAGGTCAGAAAAACAACATGTGTCTTGTGACTTGGCAACATTCCACAAACGACTGTATAAAATAAACCAGAGCATGCCGTTTGGCGTGGCCGCCATGTTTGTCTCATCTTGTGTTGTCTTGTGTGATCATTCCTTTGTCTAGGAAACACACAGACCCCAACACTGCCTCCCCGGTTCAAGTGATTCTCCTGCCTCAGCCTCACAAATAGCTGGCATTACAGGCACACCACACCCAGGTAATTTTTGTATTTTTAGTAGAGACGGGGTTTCACCATGTTGGCCAGGCTGGTCTTGAACTCCTGAACTCAGGTGTTCACCTCAGCGTCCCAAAGTACTGGGATTACAGGCGTGCACAGCCACACCCAGCCACAGTGGGTATATTTTATAGTGTGTAAATTATACCTCATTAAAGCTTTTTTAAAAACCACCCTGTACAAGACTTAAAAACAAACATAAGTCAGCAGAATATATTTGCTGTGAAAATAACTGAAATGAAATCACCCTTACCATAGAAATCTTCAAAATTCTGAGAAAAGCATTTACATCTCAATGGAAAATGAGCAAAAGAAGAAATAAAAGTTGTTAATAAACATGAGAAAAACCTTCATCTTCACTAGCAATCAAATAAATATGAAGGCCAGATGCAGTGGCTCACACCTGTAATCTCAGCACTTCAGGAGGCCAAGGCAGGCAGATCACCTGAGGTCAGGAGTTCAAGACCAGCCTGGCCAATACGGTGAAACCCGGTCTCTACTAAAAATACAAAAATTAGCTGGGCATGGTGGTGCATGCCTGTAACCCAGCTACTTGGGAGGATGAGGCAGGAGAATCGCCTGAACCTGGGAGGCAGAGGTTGTGGTGAGTCAATCACGCCTCTGCACTCCAGCCTAGGAGACAAGAGCAAAACTGTGTCTCAAAAAATAAATAAAATTAAATAAAATAAACATGTTTTTGAGAAGTAAAGGTTTAGTCTATGAAAAATGGCAACTTATTTTTTAAGTTAACATCCAGAATAGGTGAGGGTGGCTGACACAGGCTGAGAAAACACCTTGGTCTCAGATATCACCTCGCTTCTTAAACAGGAGTGAATCAGGGCCAGGTGCCGTGGCTCATGCCTGTAATACCAGTGCTTTGAGAGACCAAGGCAGGCAGATCACTTGAGGTCAGGAGTTCAAGACCAGCCTGGCCAACATGGTGAAATCTTGTCTCTACAAAAATACACAAATCAGCCAGGCATGGTGGTTGCATGCCTGCAGTCCCAGCTACTCAGGAGAGTGAGGCAGAAGAATCGCCTGAACCCAGGAGGCAGAGGTTGCAGTGAGCCAGGATAGTGCCACTGCACTCCAGATTGGGCAACAGAATGAGACTCCATCTTGAAAAAAAAAAAAAAGAGAGAGAAAATCAGGTCCTCTTTCCTTTGGGTTTCCAGTGTCACTTGAAATTTACATCTATTGTACCTTATTGTTGCTGGCTACTTACAGGCCTATATCATCCAGTTAAATTTCAAATCTCTGAGAACTGTGGCTTAGTCTTCCATATATACCTGGCACAGAGTATAAACTCTACACATGTTCACTGTGTGTGTAGTGAATGGGTAATAAGAGTGAAACCAATGCAACCTTTCCAAAGGTTGTTTTTATCTTGTATATCAAGCTCTTAAAATTGTTCATGTTCTTTAACTCAGTCATTCAACAATTCGGAATTTGTCCTTAAAATTTTGTACTTCTGAGATGAACAACAATGGTTATCTCAAGGTTAGTGTATTCGTTCATTTTCATACTGCTATAAAGAACTGTCTGAGACTGGGTAATTTATAATGGAAAGAGGTCTAATTAACTCACAGTTCAGCATGGCTGGGTAGGCCTCAGGAAACTTACAATCATGGTGGAAGGCAAAGGGGAAGCAAGGAACCTTCTTTACAAGGCAGCAGGAGGGAAAAGTGTTGAGTGAAGGGAGAAGAGCCCCTTATAAAACCATCAGATTTCATGAGCACTCGTTATCATGGAACAGCATAAGTGAAACCACCCCCCAACCCCCCTACTCCCCGCCCCCGGCCATGATTCAATTACCTCTACCTGGTCTCTCTCTTGACATATGGAGATTATGGAGATTACAATTCAAAATGAGATTTTAGGTGGGGCACAGCCAAACCATATCAGTTAGTTTTAACATTAAAAAATGGGAAATAGGGCCAGGTGTGATGGCTCACGCCTGTAATCCCAACATTTTGGGAGGCTAAGGCAGGCAAATTGCTTGAGCCCAGGAGTTTGAGACCAACCTGGACAACATGGCAAAACCCCATCTCTATTTAAAAAAAAAAGAAAAAGAAAAGAAAATGAGCCAAGCGTGGTGGTGTACTCCTATAGTCCCAGCAACACGGGAGGCTGAGGTAGGAGGATCACCTGAGCCTGGGGAGATCGAGGCTGCAGTGAACCATGACTGTGCCACTGCACTCCAGCCTGGGTGACAGAGTGAGACCTTGTCTCAAAAAAAAAAAAAAAAAAAAAAAAAAAGGAAAACTAGGAAATAATGCAAATGTTTGACATTCAGTAAGAGATCAAATTTTTTTCCTATTTGTATAGCCTACTTTTAAAATTGTGGTAAAATACACATAAGATAAAATTTACTGTTTTAACTATTCTGAAGTGCACAGTTCTGTGACATTTAGTACATTCACAATGATGTGCAATCACCACCACTATCTAGTTCCAGACTTTTTCATCACCCCAAAAGGAAAGTTCCCACCTACTGAGCAGTTTACTCTCCTTAGCCCCTGAGAACTACTAATCTGCTTATGGTCTCTGTGGATTTTCCCTATTCTGGATATTTCATATAAATGGAATCATACATTATGTGGCCATTTGTGTCTGGCTTTCACTTAACATGTTTTCAAGGTTCATCTATGGTGTAGCATATCACAGTACTTCATTTCTTTTTATAGCTGAATAATATCCCTCGTATTAATATACCATATTTTATTTATCCATTCATCAGTTGATGGACATTTGGCTTGTTTCCAACTTTTGGCTATTGTGAATAGTGCTGTTATAAACATTTGTGTACAAGTTTTTGTTCAAATACCTGTTTTCAATTCTTTTGAGCACATACCCAGGAGTGGAATTGCTGCATCATGCAGTAATTCAATGTTTAACTTATTGAGGAACTGCCAAACAATTTTCCATGGTGACTGCACCATTTTACATCCCGTCAGCAATGCACAAGGGTTCCATAGATTAACATGTTATTCTGCAGTTTTGCTGTGCCAGACTATCCCGTAACTAATCAAACAAAGTCAGCAGAAGAAATCAATCAGTTTATAATACAAATACTGTAAATCAATACTAATCATCTTTGATTAACATCAAGAAATGGTTTATTTTTTCAACCATTTAAAACTAAAACAGGTGGGTGCAGTGGCTCATTCCTGTCATCCCAACTCTTTGGGAGGCCAAGGCAAAAAGATTGCTTTAGGCCAGGAATTCAAGACCGGCCTCGGCAACATGGTGACACCCCATCTCTAAAAATAAATAAATAAATAAATAAATAAATAAATAAATAAATAAATAAAAATAAAATTCTGAGACAGGCCTTGCTCTGTCACCCAGGCTGGAGTGCAGTGGCATGATCTCGGCTCACTGCAACCTCTACCTCCTGGGTTCAAGCTATTCTTCTTCCTCAGCCTCCCGAGTAGCTAGGACTACAGGCGCCTGCCACCACACCTGGCTAATTTTTGTATTTTTAGTAGAGATGGGGTTTCACCATGTTGTCCAGGCTGGGCTAAAACTCCTGGCCTCAAGCAGTCCACTGCCTTGGCCTCCCAAAGTGCTGGGATTACAGGTGTGAGCCACTGCACCTGGCCAATTTTTTTTTTTTTTTTTAAGCAGGCACGGTGGTGGTTCAAGGCTGTAATTCCAGCTACTCAGGAGGCTGAGGGGGGAGGATCACTTAAGCCCTAGATTTCAAGCCTCCCACAAGCAGCCTACTTCTGCATCATATGATCATACCACTATACTCCAGCCTAGGCGAAAGAGCGAGACCTTGTGTCTTAAAAAAAATATAATAAAATAAAATAAATCAATAAAAATGCAAAATCCATTCTTAGTACGTGGACAATACAAAAACAGGCTGCAAGCCAGATTTGGCCTGAGGGTTATAGTTTTCTGACCCCTGGCATAGACTGCCATTTACCAAGACTGATCTAGCTGCTGCTTACCTACCAGCTACAAAAATCAATGCTGTGGCCCAACACGGTGGTTCATGCCTATAATCCCAGCACTTTGGGAGGCTAAGGCAGACAGATCACCTGAGGTCAGGAGTTCATGACCAGCCTGGTCAACATGGTAAAACTCTGTCTCTACTAAAAATTAGCCAGGCATGGTTGTGGGCGCCCATAATCCCAGCTACTTGGGAGGCTGCGGCAGGACAATCGCTTGAACCTGGGAGACAGAGGTTGCTGTGAGTCAAGATCATGCCATTGCACTCTAGCCTGGGCAACAAGAGTGAAACTGTCTCAAACACAAAACAAAAAAACAGTGCTGAGCCTCTGATACTATTCCTCACAACTGGTCTCAACTGACCCTCCTCAACAGGGAAAGATAGAGTTATTGTTCTAGAATGGGAGTTGGGGCAGGGCGTGGTGGCACACACCTGTAATCCCAGCTACTCAGGAGGCTAAGGCAGGAGAATCACTTGAACCCAGGAGGAGGAGGTTGCAGTGAGCCAAGATCACACCACTGCACTCCAGCCTGGGTGACAGAGTGAGACTCTGTAAATAGATAAATAATAAATAAATAAAAGAATGGGGGTCGGGATGAATATACGTGGAACCCAGGTGATCTATGTGAGTGCCTTGTGATTTTCTTTGCCAATTGTAAAGTGAATGGACAAGTGCTGCAACCCAGCCTGAGAAGGGAATAGGGGGACACGACTTTTCTTTACCCTCTTAGGGTCTCCAACTGGGTCTGCAAATTAAATTGACATCATGCAAATTAACAGGAGGAAAGCATACAGATGTTTACATCTACATAGGAGCCCCCATTAGAAAATAAAGACCCTGTGTAGGAAAAACTCTGTGGCTTTTGTTTTTTGAGATGGA